ACCTCAAGGAATATAGGTGGATTCTCACTGGCTGACGGAGAGTGGAACACCCGCAAGAGGGAGGAGGCTGGCTTTTGCGTCCCCAGTGGACCCTGAGTTCACACTTTTGCTGCTAATGCGTCTCTCTAAAATGTTACCCTCCTTAATTACCCCTCTTATTGCCAGCTAGCAACACTCTGCGGCCATGACCTTGGATGACACAGGGAAGCAGAGGCCATGTTTTTTTAAATATTTCTTCAGCTTCTGGTTGAATCAGTCAGACAACTTAGGAACACGCTCAACATTCTTCGGCCTCAGGAACTATTTCTTTAAATAATTTTTTTGGGTCAGAGAGATTTGCTTTTTAAATTTGGTAGTAAAAGGTGTTGAAAAGGAGGACTACAGAGGGCGAGGACATTGCCTTATAGTTCTACGTGCCGAAGTCAAACTAGCCGTACTGGGCAGGCATATGCCTCATATTTGGGCTGCCAGCACTAACCACTGAGCTATCGCAGTAGTGCAAGATTGGAAACACTCCCAGTAGGACTGGGATTAGGAGAAATTCCATAAGTAAGAATGAACAGACTCCGCTGCGCATTGCTGCCATCTGGGTGTTGTGTTGGTGCAGCTGACAGAGGGATAGTTATTTAGCTTCTAGTGCCAGGCCAGAGGTCGCCCGGAGTTGGAGGGTTTTTTCACCTTTTCCACCAGCACTGTCCCTTATTCACCATTTCCATATCCTTTCTAACCTGTGTACGTCCCCGCTGACCACCGTCGGCCGCCGTCTGACCAGCTCGCTGCAAGCGACAGCACAGCTACAACAACAAAACACAGGCTATATCATCATTACAGGCCGCTCAAAGCATTCTGCACCACCCCACATTCACACAACACACTTCTGCAAACCAATGCGCCATTAGGCCCAGACAGCGCCTTGGGATAGAGAGGATTTTATAAACAAATAAAGGAGCCAAACTTTGTGCTTCTCGTGAGCCCCAGGCTCGGCTCATGTGTTTTTTCGATGATCTTTCCAAAATTCCAGAGATTACGTGGTTATGTAGAAGAGAGCAGCAGACTTGTAGACTGATTTGATGAAAGATATGACTTTTACGCAGGTTAGCTAGTGCTTAAATATGGGATTTTTTGTAAATTTTCTTTGGTACGGGGTGACAGTAAATGTTTATTTTGGTGGAGGAAATGGGAAGCTATGCCTTGCAGGAGTTTGAACATTTCTAGGGCACTTGATGGCATCCAACTACACTGGAACAAACAATATAAACGCAACACTTTTGTTTTTGCTCCCATTTTTCATGAGATGAACTCAGAGGATCTAAAACATTTTCTATATACACAAAATAACCATTTCTCTCAAATATTGTTCACCAATCTGAAAAAATCTGTGATAGTGAGCACTTCTCCTTTGCCGAGATAATCCATCCCACCTCACAGGTGTGGCATATCAAGATG